TATCTTGGTTAGCGCATAAGTCTCAAATGTTCTTGTAGGCTTGATTCTATCACGTAGGTTTGATAAAAACGTTTATTAGAGTTGCGTGAGTTTGTACGTTTTTTGTAGGCTTGATATCCTTATCGTATGTTGTTCACATTTCTCAAAATTGTTATTATCATGTTTCATAATTAATCCAGTCGAACATTGGAATTTGGAATAAATCGGAATATGTAATTTGGAATAGTTGATCAAATCAAATATATGAATAATATGCACGAATAAATTTTGAATTTCGGAAAAATATGTAATAAGGAATGATAATTTAAGGAATAAGGAATAAAATAAGGAATGAAATCATAATGATTATTATATTATTTTTTATTAATCATAGCGTTTTATATTTTTAGCGTTTTATGCGTTTTATATTTTTAGCGTTTTATATTTTATTTTTTTTGCGTTTTATTTTTTAAATTTTAAGCACGTAATCTTTTAAGTAATCAGGTTTATTTTTAATTCTTATTGGTCCAGTAATTGGTATCTTAATCTCATTCTTCGCGTCCACACTTCCCCCCTTAGAGGAATTCTTAGGGTCAATTTCATAATATTTTAAACTGTTGTAACATTCTCTTTTCCCTAACTGATCAAGATGCCTACTTACTATCCCTTTATCAGTATAAACTTGAAACATGGTGTTGCCTTTGCACCACGTATCATCACCCTGTTTCTTATACCAAACTTAGTCTCCTCTATTAAAAGTTCGATTTCGTGGTAACGACATGAAGACTTCACCAACTTTATCCTCCAAAGGTTTTAATAAATCCCACTTTATTCTAATGTCGCGGTTAAACATTCTCTTGGACGGTGTAACTCCCGTAGTGTCATTCGGCGTGTTTCTATAGTTGAACAAAAATCTGTCCAGCGCAGTTTCTAAGTCAATCTTTATGTTTCTTTTCATATGAGCTTTAAATGTTCTCACCATACGTTCAGCTTGTCCATTAGATTGTTGATGGTAGGCCGACGTTAGTACATGTTTTATACCATAATTGCTGCAAAATTTTTTAAAATCTTTGCTCGTGAAATTGGTACTATTATCTGTAACAATGGTTTCAGGTATACCAAATAGTGAAATAGTTTTATAAATTTCCTTTAACGTGAATTCAGTCGTAATACTCTTTACCGGAACTATAACCGGAAATTTACTGTAAGCATCAACGATTATCAACCAATTCTTTGTATCCTTTCAAATGGTTTAGTTGCTGCTACCCATGGATTTTGTATTTTCTTTGGATTGTCATGATAAATATTACAATCATCGCAACTTTTGACTTCCAAATCAATGTCGTTGACCATACCAGACCACCACATACGATCTTTGGCTAAGGATTTAATTTTACCTGCTCCCAAATGACCTTCGTGTAACGCCTTCAGTATGTTCTTTCTCAGACTTGACGGAATTATTATTTTGTCGCTTTTGTACAGACAATCTTTAATGATACTTAGTTCGTATTCAATATTTTCATAAATTTTATTTTGGATAGGCACATTATTTCTTATGTCACTCATAACTTGAGATAATTCAAAATCTTTCGACGTTTCATCACGTATTCGGTCAAAACTAAAAGGTATATCGCCAAAGTCATTTATAATCGCGATATCATCAATAACGTCATCATCAATTACTTGTGGTAGTCTTGAGAGGCAATCGGGAAAAACATTGTATTTACCAGCTTTATATCTGATGTTAAAGTCGTAACCCCCCAAAATTATACTCCATTTCTGTAACCTTAATGACATGGTGCTATTATCTTTGAGCCCTTTGGTGAAAATATGGATTAGCGGCTTGTGATCCGTTACAATAGTGAACTTAGTCCCTATCAAGTATTCTTGAAATCTCTTGATAGCAAACATAATGGCCAGAGCTTCACGCTCAATATTGGTATAGTTTGTTTCGGATTTTGCTAAAGTTCTTGATGCAAAAGCTATCGGTTTTTCTTTGCCATCTTTTTCAGTGTGAAACAAAACAGCTCTCAAACCTCTTTTAGATGCATCAGTCGCAATTCCGATAGGTAGTTCAGGATTAAAGTACGTCAAAGCTGGAGGAAGACTAATCAATGTCTTTAGATCATCAAAACTTTTGGAGTGTTCCAAATTCCACTCCCATTTTTCTTTGTTAACAATCTTGTATAAAGGATCAGCTATTTCAGCGAAGTTGTTCAAAAATTTTCTGTAGTACCCGGCCATACCTAGAAACGTTAACAATTCCGCGGCTGATTTTGGTTCCGGCATTTTAACGATCGCCTCGATCTTGTCATGGTTGGCGTGGATCCCCTTGGCGTCGATGTCATGTCCTAAGAACCTTAGACTTTTTTTGAAAAATAAGCTTTTTGCAAAATTAGGCACTAAACCATGAGATAGTATTCTTTCAAAAACCTTCTTTATGTTGTTGAAATGAACTTCGTCACTACTTCCCGTAATTAGTAGATCATCAATATAAAATATGACATCTTTCATGTCACCGAAAATTTGATCCATAATTTGTTGAAAAATTGCAGATGAAGTCTTTAACCCAAAAGGAAGTCTGGTAAACCGGTAGTACCCCCTGTGTGTAGATATAGTTATGTCTCTGCAGGTTTCGTTGATGGGAATTTGTAGGAACGCATCCTTGAAATCTATCTTGGTGAACTTCTTCCCTTCCTTGAGCTTAGCGATAAGATCATTTATTCTTGGAAGTGGGTATCTGAAGTCCTCAAGGGCTGGGTTGACAGTGTCTTTGAAGTCGGCGCAAACCCTAACGCTCCCATTATCCTTGTAGACAGCGGTTATCGGACTTGCCCATCGGACATCTGTTACAGGCTCAATGACTCCATCTCCTATCCATCTCATAAGTTCTCTAGTAACAGCGTCTATCTTTGAATAAGGTAACCGTCTAGGTGGTATGATTTTCGGTTTGGCGTCATTACGTAGATATATCTTGACATTCCCTTTGTTGATCGGTTTTTTAGTCAGTTTAGATTCGCAATCTTTTATTAATTTCTTTATTTCATCTTCATAGTTGGTATCAATGTTTGCTATAAATTTGTTCAAATATTACTAAAGGCATTAATCCACATACGTCCCAATAACGCATTTTTATTAGATTTAACAATCACGGCTTGCAAGTGTTTGGTGATACCTTCGTAGGTTACTTTAACTTGAGTGACGCCAATAATTTTGATTAAGTTTCCATCATAAGCTGTGAGTTGTAGAGTGGACTTTTTAAGATCTTTAATACCTATTTGTTTAGCCATATCATGAGGTATAATTGTAAACTTGGATCCCGTATCAACCTGCATAGTAACAGCAGCATCATTTACTTTTAAAGTAGTCATGAACGCATTATCATTAAGTTTAAACTCAGTTAAATTGTTGATATTAAAATCACTACCATTATTATTTTGTGTAGGGTTATTTTTTTCTTCAACAATCTCTTCAATGTTCATGTTACAATTGATGTTACTTTGATTCATGTCATTATATTGTAATGGTTTTCTTTGATTAATATTTTGATTATAATTTTTCCACGTATTATTTTCTCCATTATTGTTGTTATTGTAGGATTGATATTGATAACCATATCGATTATTATATTGACTCTGATTTCTTTGATTGTTGTAAGACCAGGAATTGTTTCTCCCATTATAATTATTGTTTTGCCAAGTACCTCTACCATAATTGTTTGAATTGTTATTGTATTGCCAGGCATTGCTTCTATCATAATTGTTTGCATTATTGTTGTTGTGCCACATGGAGTTTCTTCCGTAATAGTTTGAATTGTTATTCGAAGATTGGTTATTACGAAAATTTCTAGAGTTACCCTCACTGTCTCGAAAAGTATTGTTTTGATAGTTTCGGCTAGCACTATCATTAGGCCTAAAATCATTATAATTCCTCTTCTTAAAATCAAAATTTTCCTTTCGAGTGTTATGTCCATTATAATTAAAATTATTTTCTCTAAAATTATTATGTTCATAATCATTAGAATTATTCTCATTATTACTAAAAGTACTTTTGCATGGTATTTTATCCATGTTTAAATTGTAAAATTTTTTATTTTTATCCAATTTTTTATCATTGTCTACATAATTTGTATCGCTAACGTCTGGTTTAATATTGCTGCCATCTAACTCCACTCCTAATTTCATCATCTTATCTAAGCCTTCGTGCTTATGATTTAACTTCCTTCTGATATTATCATTTAAAGAACAAGTTATTAATTTCTCAATCATTCTTGTATCGTTATCAAAATCGCATTTTTTATGAAGTTTTGAAATTCTAAAATAAAAAGTATGGAAGGACTCCTCGGCACCTTGTACCGCTAAGTTAAAGTTCTTTATATTTACATTAATGTCCTCACTTGGAATTTTTCAATTTACCAAAAACAATATTATAGTCTTTTAACTGTGCTTTAGAACATATCGACGTAACTTGGTCTACAATCTCAATTGGTAAGCTACATAGTAGTGTCCTAACTTTAGATGAGTCTGACTCAATATGTCCTTCAAAGTATGTTTCTATTAAGTTAAGATAAGTCTCAGATAATTTTCCTGATAACTTGGGAAATTTTGGAACATATTGAGTGTGTGTGTAGGAGTTAATTTTTCGTCCATGATAAAATTTTATTTGAGTAAAGTAAACTTTCAATATTTAAAATCGTAAAAGCAAAACATTGTAGTTCATTAAAATCAAATTTAAGTTGTCTAAAAATTTTAATTTTAATCAAGAGAATGTGGTCCACTAAGTCCACTAAGTTTTAGAAGGAAAATTAAAAAATTTTTATTGATATTCTATAGGTTAAACATCGCGTAAATTTATATTTAATAACGTAACATAGGGAAAATTTTCTATACCCTATAAATATAGTATGTCAAATATGTAAAGCGTAAAGATATTTAAATTTTAATATTTAAATTTTAATATTCCGTAATTTCACAAGATATAAAAATGAAATTATTTTCATCAAAAATATAGGGCTTCATTTAGAGACATATAGGCATCAATCATTTTTCGTAAGGACTTGAAATAAAAGACAATTTCATTCATTCTATTATCACGGATATAAGAGAATTCATTACATACTCCCATTTCCTTCAACATTTTATCGATAATTATGCACTGAGGTATATTATAAGCTTTAAAACAAAACATCATAACGTAAAAATGCAAAGATTCCGATGAAAAAACTATTTTTTTATCATATTACTCTTTTTATTTATATATATGTATATTTTATTTTCTCTTTTTTTTTTTTACCTTTCATGATTTTGTAAATTTGGATAAAATTTTGACTATCGAAAAGAAAAGTCAAAAAAATTTTATATGTCCTTTTATCATCTCCAATATCGAACGACGAATTTGATAAGTAATTCCTTTACTTTTTATTTTTACAAAAGAATTCAAGGTAAGGATATTTTTTTAAATTTTTTTAAACTTTTATTATTTACTTTATTTTATTTTTTTAAAGAGAAAGAAAAACGAAAAACGTACCACCGTAACCGGGGCACCATGAAGTAAGCTATTCAAATTAATTATTTTTTAAAATATTTTATTCTCTTTCTATATCTAAAAACATAGTATATATATATAAAAAAAAGTTAATTGAAAAATATATAATATCACGTTTTTGTGAATAGTTAAATTATATCAAACACATCAATTTATAATATAAGATTAACTATTCAAATTTAAGATTAATTCTTTAAATTTATATATGATCAATCAACAGGTATAAAAAAGAGTTTCCTGGATATATAGATTTTGGTAATGGAACAAAACCTTCTGAATCTATATCTGAGCAAGCAAAGCTTTATTTCTTATGGCAACATATTCTTATTTATTTATCAGAAATTCATATAAAAATAATGCAATGACTTTAAAAATATCCTATCAATTATTTACTATTTTAAGCCTTGATATTCAGCGACTTATTCATTGGTATAAAAAAGAGTTTCATGGATATATAGATTTTGGTAATGGAACAAAACCTTCTGAATCTATATCTGAAGCGAAGCTTTATTTCTTATGGCAACATATTCTTATTTATTTATCAGAAATTCATATAAAAATAATGCAATGACTTTAAAAATATCCTATCAATTATTATTAGTTATATGAATATTAATATATCTTGTATATTTTGATAAAAATTATATATTATCTAATAAAGTTATTAATTTTTATGATTAAAATGATTTTTATATTATTCATAATATTTATTTATTATAATTAAAGAAATAAACTTATGAATTTAATATTTTATGGAGTTATATGACTAGATCTTATTAACTATTAAACCTTAACATTTAGCAACCCTATCACAGTTATTGAGAATGTTTAAAATATCTTTACTTTTATTAGGATATCCTATTCCCATATATAATCTTATCTATTAGTATTTATTTTTCCAATTAGTTTTATTTTATTTATTGTTTTTATCATTCCTTGTTTGTAATATTTTATTTTTTTAAATGCTTTTTTCCAAAAATGTATAAATTATGATGAATATTTTTATAAAAAAATATTGACTTTTAAATTCTTTCTTTCAAATTATTGTTTAAGTTATATGCATACATTTTTGGAGGTCATGGAGTGGAAGGTGGGGAAAGGAGGACTAAGGGGGATTTTTTTTATTAGCTTAAAATGATATTCACAAAAAGTGATACATTTCTGAAGGGGGGATTTTCCCTTGTCACCCCCCCCCCTGTCTATGCTTATGTCACAACTCCTACAATCTACTAGTATTACAACATCAGAAATTCCTGAAACTGATTCTGCTCATAGTGAGTATACATTTCTATTATGTTTTGTTACCTAGTGAGGAATTATTTGACCTTAACTTATATGAGCAAAAACTAATCTCTATAGGGTTGGCAATACCTATATATTGTAAAAAATAATCCTCTAATAATTCAAGTTCAATTCAAATCCCAGGTGATCTTGGCCAGAATGAACCAAAGCAAATCAAATAAATCAATTCCGTAAAATAAGATATCCATGGTAAGCTGAGATTATTTCTAAAATCATGGTATAGAGGTCGAGACTGATTGGAGTACAGTGTAGAAGCTGACGCTGCTTTTTGTTTTCTATGTAGGAAATGCTTGTGTAGCTCAAGTGTTGCATTATTCTAATTACAATATAAATTTTATTTTTTGTTATAATCTAATTTTATTTTATAAACGGCGTAACCTTACTTTTTTTATATTATTTTACTTTTTTGTATTTCGTTTTATATTCTAATTTATATTTTAGAAAATGTATATATACCTTTAGAAAAGAAATAGAAAGGAGTTAATAAAATATATTTTTACTGACTCGCACCTCGCGCTATATCGTTAAGAACCTTATTCTTTTCATGGTGCCCCGGGTGAGGACTAGAAAAAGATGACTACCTATTATGACTCTACCTTGTGCTTAACCTATGGAGACCTATTATGACTCTACCTTGTGCTTAACCTATGGAGATGACTACCTATTATGACTACCTTATCTATTGTGACTACCTAATCTACTGAGATGACTATCTAATCTATGGAGACTGCTTAACCTATGGAGATGACTACCTATTATTACCTTATTTATTGTGACTGCCTAATCTATTGATATGACCAATGTCTAATCTATGGAGATGACCAAGAATCAAACCTTAGCACGTTCTTTCATGCATAAAGCTTCTTTCTTCATGGTGTCCCGGCTCTGGATGTTGGACTGGAATATAATAGCCAGCACCTAACCTAATGTGGCAACCTAGAAAGAACCTTAATGAAAGTTAGACGTTAGGTTATGAATTCTATATTGTGAGACCTATGATGATTACTTATTATTCTAATTCACGTAAGAAGAAAAGTTATTATATTAAGATTTTATGCCAGGATAAAGGCATGTTATAATTTTTAAAATCATTAAAATGTAAAATCATAATGGATATTTGAACACACAAAAAGCCTTTAAAAATTATTTATAATTTCTTAGTGAAATATTGATACTAAAATGTAAAATCATAATGGATATAGACCACACAAAAAGCCTTTAAAAAAATTATTTACTTAAATTTTAGTGAAATATTGGTATTTTTTTTGATTTCTTGAATGATGACCAATTGTTGTAAATTAACTAATCCTAAAGATGAATTCTTAGATATAATTAAATATAAACCATTAAAAATCCTTAACAAGTAGATAAAATTTTAATTTTAAATATATTAAAATGTAATTAAAACATATGAATTAAAAGGGATTGATTCTTATAAGTAATACTTAATATGATAAAAATGTTTTTGAAATAAAGCTTTTGAAGACAAAAGGTTATGTAAAAATTAAACAACATTATTTTAGAAAAATATTGTGTGAAATTTTAAATTTTTTTTAAGAGAGGGAAATGTGCATAATATTTGCATATTTTAACCTTGGAGATTGAAAATAAATAAAAATAAATTAAATATTAAAACGCTACTAATTAAATATTAAAACTCTACTAATAAAAAAAATGTAAAACGCAAAAAATAGCATAAAACGCTAAAAGTATAAAACGCTAAAAATGTAAAACGCTAAAAATATAAAACGCTATGATTAACTTAAAAATATTATGATAATCATTATGATTTATCGTTCCTTATTCTGGATTAAAATTTTATTCCTTATTCCATAAATTATCATTCCTTATTACATATTTTATTGTTCCAAAATTCAAAATTTTATTCGTGCATATTATTCATACATTTGATTTGATCAACTATTCCAAATTATATATTCCGATTTATTCCAAATTCCAATATTCGACTGGATTAATTATAAAAAATGATAATAACAATTGAGTACTATCAAACAAGCTATGATTAATGGAGACAATTTACGATATGGATATCAAGCTTGTGATTAAACAAACCAACGTGCATAATCGAATTAATCAAACCAACGATTGGGACAAGCCAAAATGATAAACCACTTGGACAACAAACTCTCATGACTTCTCCGATGAAATTATCAGAAGAGGGAGAATGTTGCATTATTCTAATTACAATATAAATTTTATTTTTTGTTATAATCTAATTTTATTTTATAAACGGCGTAACCTTACTTTTTTTATATTATTTTACTTTTTTGTATTTCGTTTTATATTCTAATTTATATTTTAGAAAATGTATATATACCTTTAGAAAAGAAATAGAAAGGAGTTAATAAAATATATTTTTACTGACTCGCACCTCGCGCTATATCGTTAAGAACCTTATTCTTTTCACCAAGTGATGAATTTGGACAAAAGAGATTAAGAAATTGGAAAAATGCGTTAGCTGCAAATAAGGGATTGCTAAACATAAAAGCTCAAAAGCTCATTAAAATTTGATAATAATTTGGCATGACAAAAATCTAAATATAAACAAGGATACTGAAATAACAACAATTTTGGTATGACAACAAATTAACCGTAGTCGTTACTATCTTAAATTAATATTTAATACTATTTCTGCAGGAGATAATTACGGAAGCTGCAAATGATGAAAACAAAATTTATTTTTCTAGAATTTTCATACACCATCCATAGATCCTGAATTAAATAAAATTATGAAATTTATACCCAAAAATGTCCAATATGATGCTAAAAATTGTATTGATTCCACAATCAATATAATAAAAAATAAAAGAAGCGATAATTCTTTTGATTTTATTAGAATTAAGGCTGTAAAAATTTTAGAAGAATTTAATCTCACTCCCCAAAAATTATCAAAGTTACGTAAAACTAATATAAACTTTCAAGATTTTTTAGTCGAGTCCAAATTACAATTTGATTGTGAAATAGACTAGGAATTATTATGAAATTATTGATTACTCTGTTGATCGTTTTTTAGATATATTTACACAAGATGATTATAATCTACTAACAATACATTGTCCCCTTTTACCCTGATTATTTTATATCAGATAAAATAATCCCATTAGAATCATTATTAAACTTAAATATAGGAACGTTACATCATAAAATAAAAAAGCTAAAGGATTATTAGCTGCAGAAGTTAAAGAAATACATAATTTTTATATCCTAAATATGTATAAAAAAATATCATCATGCATTTAAAAAAGTGTATAAATTCTACTCAGCAGCCATCATCATTGGGGTATCAGCGGCTTCGAGACCTCATTCTCTACACTAAAGAGAGTTCTATCGAGCACTAGAGTCGATCAAAGATCAACGTAAGCAAAATTTCGTATTGATGGCTTATGAAAAAATATAACAGAAAATTTATTCATTAATTAATTTATGTTAAAATTTAAAAATAAAAAATCGTCATATTATATTATAATTTTGTATATTCATATTATAGTATTATTTTGTATTCATATTACATTAATAAATTTTTGATAAAAATGGCAAAAATTTTTAATGAATGCTTAATTTGTTTTATTTTTAAAAAATAGTGGCCCCCTCAACTAAGCAGCTGGACCCCTAGCTGAAAATTCATAGCTACGGCCCTGGTGATACCCTTGAAACCCTAAACATATTATAGAGAAATTGGCGCAATCGCAAAGGTTACATTAATGAACGAAGTTTTGATTAACCTTTTAAATTATTATGTTTAATTCTATAATTTAGTGCGAACATACCGGGTTAGAGAGCTATAATATATTATAATATTAAAACGCTCTAATATTTAGTATTTTCCATTATTATATTTATTTGTGTTCTAAATTGTCATTTTTTAAAATATGATTGGTTCTAATGAATTTTATGTTTCTAATATTAGTATTATCATGACATAATGTTGTCAGTATTTAACAGCTGTCAAGGGTCTATATATTTTTTTAGTTATAAACATGGTAAATGTGATAAAAGGAGTCATGATAGAATGGTAAACTTTATGCAAATTATTTTTATAAACAGGTATTTAAGTGATTCGACTATGAAACAGTTTTTAATTTATCTCGATGAAACTTCAAAATTGGGCAAAAAATTTATAATTCAAGTTTTTTTTAAAATGTTTTAATTGTATTAAATAATATGAAAGACTTAGATGATACACATATCTTTGTTTCTTCAGACATTGTTGAATCACTTCGGGAAGAAGTAGATGAATTATTAGACAAATTATCATTTCCAGTTGTTAATTCAATTGAGGATTAAGGCTGAAATAACACCATATATGATGAATTACTTTATATTTATTATGGCATATATGATTAGAATTATATTGATAACATATTCTATGATACAAGACAAATATTTTCGTGTAAAATACACTGATATTGACTATGATGTTTATTTGCAAGCATCTCATACATTGAAATCACCAAAATTTGTAGATTTATATATTATAAACCCAACTTATAGATATAATCCATTGATTGCATATATAACCTTAATTGATATATATTTTGTAAGTGGACTTTGTAAATTTATTTATGCTTCTTCAGATATAGTAGCAGCTTTGTTTATAAATAAATTATCCTCAATTTTACTCCATGCTCACTCTAGTACAACTTTATTATTTCTTATTAAAAATATTTGGTTATATAATCCTTTGGTCATTGCAATATCAACAAGAGGTAATTTTGATTCATTAATTTGTTGTTTATTTGCATTTTTACTTCATGAAATAAATAAACCAAATTCTTGTCTTATTTCAAGCTTTTTATATGGCTTATGTATTCACCTTAGAATTTTTCCTATTTTATTTATACCAACATTTTATTTCTTTCTACTTCAGAGAAATTCAAAATTTCCTAAATTTATTTTTAATTATCAGCATTTTATATTTTTTGGAACTGCATTCTTGACATTTACCATTTTAACATTCTATTTTTATAAAATATTTCATCAACCTTATATAAATTCGGCGTTTCTTTATCATCTCATATATCGCAAAGATTTTAAGCATAATTTTTCAATGCATTTTTATCCTACATATTTATCACTTAGCACTCCAATTTTATCCCATTTTGAAACACGATTAGATTTAATGAAATTATATCAACTATTATCTCTAGATAAATTAATTGTCACTGTCATATCCCTATACATTCCTTTCAAAATATTTAATGTATATGAAATATTTAATGGTAATCAATTGTCTATCGTAGTTTCACATCATATACACAAACTTGCTAGTTGCCTTTTAATCATTACACTTACTTTTGTAACATTTAACAAAGTTATAACATCCCAATATTTCTTATGGCCTTTAATTTTTTTGCCCATTGTATTAGCCCCATCTTTTAATGAGCTTGAACAATTCAGCTTAAAAACATTTGGTAAACTTCCTATCTAGTTAATAACACTTTGGCTAATCATGAAAGTTGGTTGGTTATTTTTTGCTTACAATTTAGAATTTCAAGGTCTTAATATTTTCATGTATGTTTTGATTATGAGCTGTCTTTTTTTTCGACCAATGTAGCTATCATATGTTATATTGTATATTATTGTAATGTGTGGTGCACAAATTTGAACGTTAAACACCTAATAGATTCATAAATTTATTACAATACAATCCTGATTTTAATGTTTAATTTATTATTTTTAAATAAAAGCAATATAATACATAGAGTAGCTTATATTTTTTTACAAATGTACAGTCTCCAGTTATTAATGTTTTTTACAAAAAAAAAGATACAAGCAAAAATATGTTTATCTAAAATGGTTATTATCAATTTCAAGCAGTTTCAATTTTTTACAAAACAAAATAAATTAGTTATTAAGATCGGCATTTCTTTTATAAAGGTAATAGTTACCATTTTGGCTTAAATTGCTATTATTTTCATTATGTTGCTTGCTGCCAACGTATTTTTGTGAAGAGTTATTATTAATGTTGCTGAAACCATTGTAGTAACTCATAGAATTCTGTGTTATTTTTATCCATATATTTGATATGGTGTCGAAGTACTAAGATTTTTTTTAAATATATGAATTTTAGTTTGTGAGTTAATTATAGCTAAAAATATATGTATAGTATTTTCAATAAGTATTGTTTTATAAGATTATCAGTGGAATTAAATATTTATATAATATTAAATTTACCATTAAAAATAGATGCACCAATCCCAAATACAACCCGATCAAAATTGCAATATATAAATCGAATATGGCTGGTTTAGATCTATATAATTAAAAAAAACTATGTCTAAGATTTATTTTAAAGAAATAGAAATGGTGAAAATATCTTGACAAAAATAAATAAATTTCCTAAAACGCCATTATTTAATTCAATCAATTTATAATGATAGGCCAATAACCAATTTTTAAAAAATATCAATGATTGAGGCCAATCCTATTAGAGGTCTGCAAAGATCAACGAGATTTGGCCCGTTATTTGCACAAGTTGCCTGTCCCACCATTTTTTTGAAAATTTGCCCACCCTAGGCCAACTTGTTATAATTATATTTAAATTTGCCTGGCCTGGCCCATAAGAATTTTACAAAAAGTCAAGCCCAACCCGTTATAGTTTTACGAAAAATCGATCCTGGCACGTTATTTTTTTATACAAATTTTCTGCCCATCTTATTTTTAATAACTATCTAATTTTTTCACAATATCATTTAAGGTTCTTATATCTCTCCTCCTCTACAAGGCTTAATAATCAATTGTGTTCGATATATGTATTGTGCAGTTTTTTGTGAATTACTATTTTATTTTATTATAGATTTAGTATTTAAGTTAGGTAGCTCTTAAAATACAAAGAAATAAGCATATTATAATTTATTTCTAATAAAATTAATCAAATTAGCTTGAAATTGGAAAAAAATATATGGAGATTTTATTGCACAGGCTAACCTATTAAAAGTTAACGAAAAGTCATTGCAAGACCTTGCCTGATAGTTTATGTAAAAATGCAATAATTGTCTTGCCAAGTCTTTTTTAATTTAGCCAGCGAAACAGGCTTTGCAGATCTCTAAATCTTATATTAAAATATCGGTATATCACTATTTTTTTTAAGTTTATTAACTTCAGATCTAATTTTTAATAAAAATTTAAAACAAGTTCGGAATACAAAAAGAAATAAAACAATATATTTTATCTATATAATTTGAAATATGAATAAAAAATTTTATAGGAATTAATTAAAATTAAATTATTCTCTAAGAAATGTACACCTCTAATAACACTGTGTGACAAGAAAAATGGGAGAAGAAAATAAAAACAAGTTTTGGTGCAGAATTTGACACTGAGTTCGAATCCGTTTCCAAATTTTCCCTACACGTCAAGTTCTAAAAATATTACCGTTAATTCTAAATATGTTTCAAAAGTACTCTATGCCATGAAAATTCAACCAAAATCTATAAATTAAAAAAGTCGGTACAAATATTTTCGAACTTTTTAATTTTTACACTTTTATTGAATTTTCTCTGCATAAAGCATTTTTAAAGTATATTAAGGTAATATTTATCTTTTTTAGTTGTATTTAGTAATATTTTATGCATTTATGATCAATTTATACTAAAATCAGATATCTGTACCCACTTTATTAATTTATACTCTTTTTGAATTGAGCATTTTTGAAGCAAAATTCATTTAAAATACAATAATTGCAAATTTTATTATTATTTATCTTTTTTAGAGGTATATATTTGTTTTTTTAATCAATTTATATCAAAATATATGATTTTCCAATGGAGATCCTTGAACCCGTAGTATGGGCAATAAATAATAATGCCAAATAACGAGTAGGAAGAAAGGAGAAGAATTATTTTTTTTCGCGCTTAATTTTTCATAAACATTTAATTTCTTTCATTAATTTTTTTTTTAAATTGGGTTTTAAATATTATTCAAATTCCCTCCTTATATAATATTCTACAAAAAATTAATGCCGAGGTCCCCTTGTTTAAAGTGTGTCTCTAAATTTTGTTACATCTGTGCGGGCTATATATTGCCCGCAAATTCCAATTTCTCCAATCATTCAAAGGATTTATGAAATTTATTACAATATTCCACTCTGCGATTTGGATAAACCATTTGCCCCTTCTTTTAATTCATGGGTAAATGGAAAACGGTCATATTTGCCTTATTCGAAACCTGCATTTTGGCACGTGGCAAGAAATCATTTGCGGGATTGTTATTTTTGCTCGATTAGTACATTTGAGTTTAACAAAAAAAATAAGAAAAAAATTCGTTATCCTGAAATTTCGTCGGTTGTTTATCCGGTAAAATATAATATGCATACAACAGTTCCTTTTTTTAATAGTTCGCAGCTGGAAAAATTACGTTGCCAGGACAATGACAATATTGATCTTGGATTCGCCATTTATGTCACAAGAGCAACTAAATAACATAACCAGAAATTTACAACTTTCAAAAAGAAAGTCCGAATTTTTAGCCTCAAGGCTTAATGATTTTAAAATTTTAAAATATGGAGTTCGAACTTCATACCGATTCCGTGGAGCATCGTTTAAAAATTTATTCTCTTACGAAAATTTTTTATACCATTCCAACAATCTAGGTCAACTTTTTTTACAACTTAATATTGAATTGGTGCCCGATGAATGGCGCTTGTTCATCCATGCAAAAACAGCTTGAAAGCAGTTTTGCTTCATAACGGAAATTCTAAGCCATCAATTCCCATCGCCTATTCCAACCAGTTAAATGAATCATATGAAAATATGAAATATTTATTGTCAAAAATAAATTATTCCATTTACGAATTTAAGATATGCTGCGATCTCAAAATGATCGCAATCCTGACGGGCCTTCAGTTAGGCTACACCAAGCATTCGTGTTTTCTTTGTCTCTGGAATTCCAGAGAAACTCTAAAACATTATACAGCATCTGAATGGGAGGATCGTCCCAACGTTATTGAAAAAAATCGCGTAAATATCCCGCTTGTTTCTAAAAATAAGATTTTGTTGCCTCCGTTGCACATAAAATTAAGACTAATCAAAAATTTTATCAAAAAATTGTCCGAGGGCCCCACGATATACCTTATAAATTTTTTCCCCAAGCTTTCCCAAGCAAAAATAAAAGAGGGGATTTTAGTGGGCCCCCAAATAAGAAAACTCATGAAGGACGAAGATGAATTGTTACTCATTGAATTAAAAGCATGGGAATCTTTTAAATGGATATGCAGATCGTTCCTTCGCAATCATAAATCAGCCGACTATTGTGAGAAAATTGATGACCTATTAACAAATTATAAGGAAATGGGATGCCGAGTCCCTCAAAATCCATTTTCTTCATTCCCATAAAGATTTTTTCCCTGAAAACTTAGGTGCTGTGTCAGAAGAAATGGGGGAGCGGTTCTATCAACAAATAGAAAATCTCGAAAAGTTTTATCACGGCAAGAATTGTATAATATGTTGGCGGACTACTGCTGGAGTATCTTTTTTGAAGATAAATCATCAACTTCATATTGGCGGAAATTTTAGATTTACCATTAAATGTTTTTAAATTCGATAAATTTTATGTTATTGTTTAATTTGTTTTAAATTCAATAAATTTATTGTATATTACAAGTTAAATCCTATATAATAATGAAGGAGGGGTGGGACAACTGACCGATAAAAGGTTTATTAAAAGTAAAATATGAGATAGGTTAGCTTAGCATAATATATTTATTTAAATATGAGAAATATAACTATTTCATTTAAAATAAATTTTTTGGGAATCGTAACGTGTGCAGTGTAGCGAAGAGAACGAAAGCCACAATAAATAAATATATTAAATGTAAGCTATATTAAAAAAGATTTTATAAATAAAGGTAAATTTAAAAAATATAGGTTGTTTAAAAATTGAGTAAGGATTTTATTAAAAAAATGTATAATAATAATAAGGAAGGTTTGCTGCAAAAATTAAGATATTTTTTTAGTTGTAGGGATCATAAGTTATAAACCTTCAAAAAGTAAAAATGACCTTTTTGGCCACTTTAACCTAAAATAAATAAAAAACCTGATGTGCTAGGAAAAAACTAACAGCGGATTTAGAATATGATTAAAAAATTGTCTTGAAACATGTTTATTTTATTTTCTCCCAAAAAATAAAGTCGAAATTTGTCACACAGTGTAAGCAATGGGAAACTGTAAAGAAATGTTTTAATAAAAAATTATATTACTTGTAAAAGGTGAGAGAACCTTCAAAGTTATCGTAAAACACAAATTCTGGCTCTCTGTGAGTATTTTTTAAAAAATTATTATATTTTCTATATTATTATGTATGCATAAATTTTAATAATAATTTAAAGCTTATTAACTTGTAAACTATTATCTTGCCAGAATTAATGACATAATGTTATAACAAAACTTAGATAATTTAGAAAGCTTTAATTTAATTTAAAATAAATGTACGGTTATTTTCAGACAAAACCTTTTTTCAAAGATGTTGAGGCATGTTTTCAGCAATTTTTTTATTTCCAAATAAATAATTTTTTTGATACATTATTTTAAAAAATTAATTTGACAAATTATCCTAATTACTAGAAACATGCCTCAGAACCCTCTTTGAAATAACGCTGTCTGAAAATTGCTTTAGAAAATAATCAAACCTTGATGAATTTTTTTTTTAAATATTTGAAAAATTTTAATAATCGATGGAGTAAAATTTAAAAATAATATTTTAGAAACCTATTTTATTAGATTTTTAATTACAATCTTTATCATTATTTTTTAAATATTTGAAAATATCTCCCATATACTTAACTTTTTGTTAATTAAATATTGTCCAAATCATATCATATATTTATATAAATAGAATAATATCTTGATTTTTATTTTCTGCAATGTGAAACGGTTTTTATAGATTCCGCTTCCGAAAGATTTTTTTGTATTTAAAAAATATTCATATTTTGAAAGTTTTAATAGATCGTGATATTTTCACTTGAATTGAGCCGGCTATTAAAAAAATATTTGTGAGCAGGATTTTTGGCGCTCTTTACAGTGATAATAATCATTCGGCAATATTTATTTTAATTTACATAAATTATACAATTACCTTTTATCAGCTTTGAAAGGAATAATCCTAATGTCTTTCATTATATCTGAAAAATGGTTAACGATGCTGGATAATATGTGAGATTCTTTCGTGAGTAAATGTTGGGAACGCGGGAATTTAGAAAAGGTATCCATTAAGCCTAATATATGATCTTCGTCTATATTCTTAAAAATTTTTTTAATTAAGATTAATCTTTAAGCTGGATTAGTAGGGTTTTATGTTTTATTTAATTGATTTCACATACTAACTGTAAACAAAGCCCTGCAAGTGAACCCAGAGTAAAGCACGGGCCTAAAAAAATTGAAAATAATATTTTCCTATTTACTAAAATAAAATGATAATTCTTTGAGATTAGGTCAAAGCAATTAGTAATTTATATTTAAATTAAAATTTCGGGGTCGGGCATAAATCGAGCCCGTAAATAAAAATTTCGAATCGGAATAAAAAATAGATACAAATTTTAATGAGCTCGGGTAAAAAAAATTGAACTTGCAAGTAGTAGTGAACAGCTCAATTTGAGCCCATTTTTAAAAGCGGCTAACTCAATATTTTGTTCAGAAAAATATTATGGAAGTTTGAAGATTTTACGCATAAATGACGCGAAGATTTTACGCATAAATGACGCAAAGATTTTGGCATCTATTATCGAAATCTCGATTAGGCAATATTTTTCAGGAAAAATATATTGAGTTAGCCGTTTAATCAGCTCAAATCAGGCCTGATTTTCAAGCCCGGTCCGATTTCCAAGGAATTTTTATTTGTCCAGATCCAAAAGCTATTTGCTAGCCCGGCTCGATATTATTCAAATATAGAAATTATTATTTTTTACTATAGTTATGTGAATCCCTGATTAAATGTCTTAGCGAAACTTCTAATCCAATAGTTTGATACAATTAATCTTCTAGAAATATTGTTTATTAGATTGCGCCGATATATAAAATATCGAGGCTGATATTTCGCATTTTAAAAAAAATATAGGATCGGGTCCGATATAAAAACCCGATCCAATATTTTTATTTATTTTTTGTTATACATTATTTAATATTTCAAAAGATTTTATATTTTTTTAATTTTATAAAAATTGAACGTTTCAAATCTTTTTTTATAAATAAGAACTCGCCCATTTAATTATATACTTTAAGTAAGGATCTATCATTTTTTATCATAAATTTTTAAGATGGCATATGAGTTATGGAAATTTTTTTACAAAAGATAAAAAGAATTTTCAAGGGATATAAACAGTCCATATCGTAGAATTTTATTGCCAGAATATATAGAGCCTCTAGTAGTGTTGTTAAAAGCCCGAATTGGGTCGATTTTTAAAAATGGCCCGATTAAGATTTTACCAAATATATGTAAGTCTGGAGACTTTGCTCATAGAAGGCAGAAAGTTTTGGATCTCATTTGCCAATCTCGAGTCTTACATTTTCATTTTTATTTTAAAAAAATCGAAAATTTTATATATTAAATTAAATATAACTATTTTGATATTCATACCAATATGCTGTTCAAAATATATTTTTTGACACCTAATATAATTGGTTTTTCATAAATTTTAGAATTCATTGTAGAAATAAAATTAAATGCAGAATTCGATTTTTTGCATCGAAAATATAGATTTTTTTGTTAATTTGGTGACCAGACATTCATGGTGTTATACTTGGGATTTAAAATTTTCCATAAATGATTTCATTTCAATACTTTTATCTATAAAAATTTATCCGTAAAATTTCAAATGTTTTAATGCAAAAACTCAATTTTGCACATCAATTATATACACTTAAACTTTTTTCCATATTCGTGGACCTCTTTCAAAACGAATAAAATTTTGCATGAGTTTACCAGGCCCACCACATTGACTAGTAACTACCACAATTTTATTTAAAAGTCGAAATCTACCACAATCAACTTAACCACCATAATTTTACCACATTTTTCAATTTCCGAAATGTATCAAACTCCCACAATTTTAAATTTTCTTCAAAAATCATGTTTTTGAAAAATTTCATATAAAAATATATTGTATTATGTCCTAGAAAGAAATTTCAAATCAAAAAATTCAATTACCCCTTTTTATTGAAACCCCTGTTTTTAAATTTCTTGTTTTATATGTTAACCAATAAAAGGATGGGATTTTATATAAAGAGCGGTCATACCATATTATCAAATTTCTATAAATTTTAAAATAATAAAACAATTATAATTTTAAAAAATCCCTCCCCCACTTATATTTTTAAAAAATAAATCTATAATTAGTATCTAGAAATTCGTTATTCGCTCCCAAACCCAATCTTTTTATAGTAAAATCTACCATAGTCAATATATTTTACCTGGCAACCCTGTATCAGAGCATATATGTAATTTAATTTTTTAGCCTCTAACTTAATTAGTTCCGGAGATATGGTGGGTTCAAGTTAAAAAATAGTCCTTCCTAATTTAAATACCCAAAAAATCTAAATTTTTGAGACCTATATTTGGTATCTTTAAATAGTCCTCGAATCCTTTTTTTAAATATAATTTTAATTATTATTTCCAAAAAAAATAGCAAGTGTTTTTCATTTCAGGAAAAGGTATAAATCTTTTAATTTGCTGGGTTAAAATTTTCTAAATATTTGTTTATTAAATAAATATAAATTTATATTAAAAAAATTAGGTTGGGAAAACCATTATTTTTTAGTTATCATATTTTTGAGTAATCTTTATTTATATCGGTTTTTCCAAATTAGGAAGCCTTTTTTTTTAGCTTGGACACGCCATATCTCCGGAACTAATTAAGTTAGAGCTTAAAAAATTAAATTGCATAGATCTTCACAACGGTCTATTAAACCTGATCGATTTTAAATGGAATGCCAGAATGATGAACATTCATTTTTTTAAATAGTGAATAATTATTATAAAATACAATTTATCGTAAAATATAAAAAATCAAAATTTATAAAATATTATTAAAAACAATTTCTATGCTATATAAAAAAATAAATTTTGATTAAAATTATGATATTCAACTTATCTTGTCTATAAAAAATAAGCAAGATAAGGATAGGATTTGAATTCACATAAAAATTTATAAAGCAATTTAAATATCGGAATAGTACTGGTATGCAGCTTTACAAAATGTTAATAAGAAATAAATCATATAAAAATTATAATATAATTATGTTACAATAACTTACAAAATGAGAGCCCAACAGGGTTCGATTTTGAAGAATATTCTCGGACAGATTTTTAGGATCCTCATCCGGGAAATATAGAAATCTTAATAAGGCCTCCGCCAATATACGAGTATTTAATGTTATAGCAGGTATAATGCTTGTACAGCTTTAAAAGATAAAATTATTCGTTAAAAATATCATGAAGAACTATTAAATTTTAACTTAAGTAAGAAATGAAAATAAAAGAGATGAAAGAAAATAGAATATAAATAATAAAGTCGCATATAATTATTTATAAATTTCGTTCCTTTGTTCGAGCTTTCCTTTTTCTCTATTTCTTTCTTTTTCGCTCTTTATGTCAATTTGTTTTTATTTCTCTTATTTCTTTCCTTTTTATTTTAATATGATTGAAAAATAAGTATTATTAAAAATTATACTCAGAATCTAAAATAGTATCCCTTTTACTGCTTTCTTGCGAATTGCTACTAGTGCTCAAGTGAGATGAGACAGTAAAGGCTGATTTGATTTTTTGTGCGAATATTTCGTGTTCCCAATACATTTTTTTGGTGTTGGAAACTTGGATAGATATTTTCTGCTTATTAGAAGTAGCTTTTAAATGCTTTAAAAAAATATATATTATTAATTTGAATTGAGCGGAAGTATAAGAAAATTCAATTTAATAAAAATGCCGACTCTTCATTAATAGCTCACCTCTACACTTTTGGTGCAAATTGTGTTGGGTTCAAATTATACATTCAAAAACAAACAATTTTAAATGTAAGAGGGGGGGGAGGGGTAAATAAAATATTATATGGGGACATCAAATAGCACTTTTGTAAAATTGATGAAAGTGGAGTTAGAATACTAAATAATCAAAGAAGCCGATGCATATATATATATATATATTAAAAATTCTAGCAATGTCGATAAGAAGAGCAGCCTATCACAAAAAAAAGATTGGTGAATTTTAGTTAAACAGCTTGAACATATTTTATATATTCTGGATCCCTTACGAAAATAATCGCCTTATCAAAGAGGTCACATTTTAAAAGGTATGCATTTAATTATAAATAGGTAGAGGGATACAAGAATCCAAAAATTATTATGGAGTGTATATGTGATGGGTAACCAATTATTTTTGATAATATAATTAAGTTTTCATAAGATTAGGAAACCTTAGTAAATTCTTACATATCCAAAATATAGGTGAATGATTTAACTTACTTTGTATATCTTGACCTGTAAGAGACAAATTTTTTAGACCCAATCCGAAAAGCATATTACTGACCCAACCAAACCGACAATTTTTTTGTCAAAAGAAATTCCAGACCAAACCAGAACATAAAATTAATTTCTTATTCCCAACTCGACTATGAAAATCTAAGAAAAAAATACCCAAAATTTATTTTTTTAATGTGTTAAAAGAAATTATTTAAAATGAACAAAATTGTAAGATAATATATAAGCAAACTATTATTTATCTATATCTCTGATTAAATTCAAAATTGTGACAAAAATATTTCCAAGCCTGACCCATCTGAAAATTTTTTTTCACAGTACTAGGGAAAAACGAAAGATTTGGTATCATCTTTTAAGAGTGTAACATCTACTACATAACTATGAATCTTTAATTTATAAAGGCTAGATTATTTAAAAAAAACTCTTATAATTATAATTAAATTACACTGTTTATAAAAAATATGAAATTGTTAATTTTTCTTGGATGGGTGGGGGGGGGGGGGGGGTTGATGTAAAGGAGGTAGTGGGAACGTCAAAAGATAAGATTTTGACTCTAACTCAGTTTCAAACATATATAAGTCAAGCAATAAAATTATTTTAAATTTTTTAGAGGATACCCTAAAAAATTTGTGAATGGCCGAATTTTCTTTGTGGTTTTTGGAAACGTGCAAATACATTGTATCACCTACTTTGCCACTTCCTATTGAATCCAGGCATAAGATAAAGGCTATATCGGAAACGATATTGATATCTGAAGATTAGTTATGTTATTTTTCAAATTAGTTTTCACCAAACTATGTCAGAAATAGGGACCCGAACCGTTTTTATAACGGTTCAGTATGTAAAAAATTATAATGATTACGGTTCAGTATGTAAAAAATTATAATGGTTACGGTTCTTAAGAAAAATTTACAAAGGTTTCGGTTTAGCTAATTATAAAGGTTCATATTCATTACGGTTAGAAATTTTTTTTTATTGAAGCAACACCATCGTCTAATTTATTTTTATTATAAGCATCTATGAATTATATATTAAAAAAATATATAAGTTTCAAAATAACTCATTTTTAAATATATTGTAAGTAATATATTTGATTTAAATGGATTCATATTTGTTTGTTGTGACGATAACACAAATTTAACCCCGAAAAGGCACTTTCTACAGAAACTTGTGTTGCGGGAACCATCAGTACTATAAGAGCAAGTTTATATAATTCTGGACATTCAAATTTTGATTCCTAAAATATAAAAACTGAACCGGTTTAAACCAGTTTAACCTTTTTTAATAAAGGTTCTTTTTACTCTTTCAAAAAATAATTATATCGGTTCGGTTACGGTTCTGATATTTATAACGGTTTATAATGGTTTAACGGTTCGTTACGGTTCACTCCGGGTCTCTGGTCAGAAATAAGATTAATATCGGATTAGCCTAATCTATACCTAAAACGAATTCGTTATTCGGTTGGTATTTTAAGAACATGAATAAGATAACTATATTATCTGCCGAGTAATTTTTTATCTAATATTCGAAATTATTCGTAAACATTCGAAATTATTCATAAATATTTGAAATTATTCTTAAGTATTTAACATGTACAGAGAAAATTTTTATGTATTCTTTTTTCCCATATTTAAAAATTACTTTTTTAAATTTTATTAATACATTTTTTTATTTTTGAAAATATTTTTAAATAATTTAATTTTCGAAATCGAATCGAATATATTTATTATTTACAATTATTCAATTCGAAAACTATGAATAGAATGCGAATAATGCAAATAATAGATTTGATAATTTATAGGTATTATTCATTTCTTAATTGAATACCAGTCACTTTTAAAATTGAAATCGATAAATTTACATTGACCTTTATGAGCTACATTGTAGACTTATATTTTATATATAAAACATTTGAAGTCTAAAACTTATAAATACATTAATTAAATACTTTAAATCGTGTAGTTATAAATTCATGTATAAAATCATGAATTTAAATCAAATTTATTACTTAATTATGAAAATAGATTAATGTTATTACTTATTATATAAATAAGTGATTTATCAATAAAAATATTTTATATACCTTTATAATTGCAATTGAATTGAATATAAACTATAACTGATCATTATAATATATTTAAATGACATATGTTATGGTATAGTTAAATTATAGATGTTATACTAATAAAAAGTATAATAAAAATTAAAACCATTGATGTCTTTGCAGAATATAAAATTAGATAAGATATCGGATCGGTAATCGGTCGATATCAATTTAATATCGGGAATATCGGATCGGCTTACAAAAAGTGGTATCTAAACCCCTAAAAAATTATACTTTTCTATATTTATTTAATTAATGTTATTTTTTAATATAAATAATATTTTATTTGAGTATTATTATTAATTCATTTTTTTCTACAATTTACTCAATAAATTGGCATAATTTGTTTTAAAAAATGTGTATGAACCAGAATTTTCGAATTGATCATTGATCCATTTTTTTGCACCAAGGAAAGTAAATTTGCCACCAGAAGTTAATAGAAAAATGACGTTGTATCTTTTCAATAATATTATAATAAATACATAAAATATTTTTTTAGCAAAGACAGATAGAACGTTCCGGGCATGTTCAGGTAATGGAACTTAGGAAAAATAAAGGAACTTTAACTGGAAATGAACGGTAATTTCGGTAATGTTCCCAAAACAGTTTCGAAACGTTCTTAATAATATAAAATTATATAATAAAATTTAATATTTCTAATAACTCATTCAATAATATTCCTTTTTCCTTAAATTCCATTTTTCATAATAATAATATTGTTATTTATTATTTAGCAGAATGTGAAGGAAAAAAAACCTAAAAATGACAAAATCTTTTATAAGTAAATCTTTTGTGATTTTCATACACAAAAAAATTAAAGATGAAATCAAAAATTTTTGAATAATTTTTTGTTTTTCAACTCTGGTATTTAGTATTTGAAATTAAGATTATAAAATCTTTTTTTTAAATTAAACTTAATATAATATTTTAATTGTTTATAAAATTAGCATTTATATATAATAGATGTTTATTTCAAAGAATAATTTTGTTGCCAAGTTATAGAGATGTTTTTTTTAAACGTTCAGATATTAATATCACCGCGATGTAAATTTTATCTTTTCGCTAATATCTTAATTAATACTAGATGCAATAATTATACAATATTGAATTAATGAAAAAATAATTGATATTGATAAAATTGAAAGTTCCAAAATGTGAAACGAAACCGAACATATTTTTTTTGGCTGGAACAGAATAGGGATGCAAAAATGGCTTAATTACAAGCCCCTAATTTTTAATATATTTTGGTATCAAAATAATAATCATTTCAATAATAATCATTTCAATAATAACAATTTTTAATTATAATGAATTTTTACAAATAAAAATATATTTAAAATTAATTGTGTCATTTAAAATATCCTTTTAGCTTAAGAAATTTTAATATAAAAATTGATTATCGAAAAAGGAAGACTATATTTACAAAATTTGAAAATAGAAATCAAACAATCACGAGTGCAGAGCAGAGTAGTGTTGTTAAATTTAAAAACGGCTATCTCAATATTTTAGCCAGAAAAATATTGTTTAAGCCTGGAGATTTCGTTAATAGATGTTCAAATTCAAACCTTTGCGCCACATATGAGCAAAATCTTAAGGCTTGCAAATATTTTTCTTAATAAAATACTGAGTTAGCCGTTTTTAAAAATCGGCTCAAAATGAGCCGTTTAACATCACTAGAGCAAGCAGGGATTTTCATCTTTAAAAAAATAATAACTTATTGTAGAAACAGGATGAGTCGAAATCGATTATACAATAAATTCAATTCAATTTAAAAATAAATAAATTAAAAGCTAAGAATAACTTTTATAATCTACTATCAAGCGCGCAGCAAGAGAGGGGTGTAAAAAGACAACCACCCCCCTCCCCCCAGCAAAAAAAAATATAGATTAAAATTAATTTTTAAGAAATACAAAAGATTTTTATGAATTGCGAATAGAATACTTTGCAATTCACAATTCATAAAAATATAAATTCCTTTTAATACTTTTTCCCGCGAAAATTCAAAATATATTTTCTTACATTTTTTTAAACCTTAAACACTGATGGATATTTTGTCCAGATTGATCGGAATCAGAGTTGTTAAACGCTACTTTTAAAAGTAGCGCTATATAAAAATCAACATTTATAAATATTAAAATATAGTTAGTTTTGATTATAAAAAAATTTATGTAATAAAAATAAATATTTATGGTAATTTGTTGTATTTTAATAATAAAATCATTTCAATATTATCATCTCCAAGTCTAGAGCGATGATCAGAAAGTATAAGTTTTGCCTTACTAAATAATCTCTCGACACAAGCACTTGAGAGTAAGGGTATTTAATCTTATATACATATTTTTAATATAAGATAGATTATCAATAATTTTATTTGCAAGTGCATCGTATGTCTGGCATCCTATTATCATTTTGAGGGCTAATGCAACAGATCTTCTTTTTAAAGTCCTAGAGTCTAGCCAATGGCCTGTGATTCCCAAAGCTCAAAAATATTTAATCAGATCAATTTTTAAATATAAATATGTTTTTACCTTCTGCTATATGTCTAACTATCTCCCCGTGGTACATATATATGATATCTCTGATAACTCTAACTATTAGAGCATCTTTCATCTTTAAAGTTATCTGCTATTTATTCATTAGTGTCTGGCGGCATAAAATTGTTGTACCAGGGGATAGAGTTTTAATCATCATGGCAAATGATGGATTATCAACTAAGGACATTGGCTGAACTGTATAGTATAAATTATAAAATCAACAATAACTTTATCAGCCAATTTCTGAAAAATATTGTCATTTGCATTATTAATTTGGTTTGAATTGAATTAATCTTTTTGGATGTAGAGTCGCCTATACAAAAAATTATTTAGATGTTTCTCCATTTCCTTAAAATTCATGAACAGTCTTATAAAATAAATATTATTAGAATGTAAAAATGACTTTACCTTTAGGTGTTTCTTGAGGTTATAGCTTATGATTGATTTAAGGAAATATTTTTTTTTACATTTTAAACAAATAAATTTGAAACCAGTTTTGGTTATATATTTAAAAAAATTTTCAAATCTAGGGAATGGGAAATTTGTATTATAGCTATTAACAAACATTTTCTTCCCTGGTATCTTCCATTTCATTAATATCATTGTCTGAATCACTTTCAACGATTTGGATATCCATAGGCGATGACATTTTAAATTATTAACACGTGATTTAGGTTTATAATACAAATGAAAATATAAATTACAAATTGAAATTATATTTCAATTTCAAAATTAAATAATAAATCATAAAAATTATAAATAATTATGATATTATATTTAAATTTTTATGTTTATACTTACCTTCATTATATTTTTTAAAAGTAGCGAAGTAGCGGCTACTTAGCTACTTTCAAAAAAAGTAGCGCGCTAAAAAATTAAATAATGCTATAGCTACCAAAAAAGTTAACGCGCTCGAGCTACTTTAACAACTCTGATCGAAATTAAGTAATAATAATAATAAATAATATGATTATGATTTTTGAAGATATGGATGATGTAAATTTTTCGGGCATTATTAAATTATCGGATATAATTTGTCGTATTTTTCTTATAAAAAGCAATATTTTCTACTTACTAAAAAATTAAATAAAAAGTTGAATAGATTTGAATCGTTTCCTTCTTTATTATAAAGCGTAATCGAAAATATAAGTTGGCAAAGACCGGAGTAAGATAGATATAAGAAAATTCTACCAACCAAATAAACCTAAATGTAATAAAATTTAATATAATAAAAAATTAAAACCCAAACTAGAAGTCTGTAACAGGCGGGTTTTTAGTCCCCCCGTTTACTCATTTAAATGGGGGCAATAAGCGGACGGGCTTAAAGAATTAAATACTAAAAGGATGGGCGGGCGGGTTAAAAAATTTTTAACTTTTATTTGCTATTTAGAATCATTTAAGTAAATATTTTAAAAAATATGTTCTTAACATTTCAACATTTTTAATACCAAAGTTCCTATAATTGAGATGTTGTCGTCGGAAGAAATTAATGAAGTAAAAATATATCAAAAACATGTTGGATTTGATTTGCATGGAAGAATATAACAACGACGTGGATGAAAATCTAATTTTATTTTTACCCCAAAAGCAAAAAGAATTTAATTAAAGGGTATTAAATTATAAATGCAATGTTTAAACGTTTAAAATAGATAGCATCCACGTCAAAATTGAACCACAGCATATGGGAGGATGAGGTTGTTACAAAGAGCACATAAAGTATTTAAATCTTAAAGTAGCTTGATTTGTATAATTTATCAAAATTTTAAGCTATTTTTTAGTTTACAATTTATAATTTTTTTTAATCAAAATATTTTTATTATTCATGCTTTCTTTTTAATTAATTATTTATTTATTTATGGAATAATATAAATCAACCCAAAATTTATATATGAAAAAAAATAATTCCAAATTAAATAATATAAAGGTGAAATAGAATGTAAAATGATAAAGAATAAGGAATAAAAAGATGAATCTAGCGAAGATCTGTGGAGAGAAGACAGCCATTGAAACTTTGATAATTCGCTTTAAGGATAGCTATAGCCAGTCTCTGTAAGCCTTCTCGCGGATCGCCAGTAGGTTTATGGATGTGAGATTCTAAATCCTTGAAGAAGGACAATGCAAGCTTACCAAAGGAGAAGGTAGTAGATATTATAGGGATAATGATGTGATCTTCTGATATTTCCGAATATTTGAAAATATTATGTTGTTCTTTTTGCTCAAGTAGGTTTGGAGTTTGGTTGGATAAAGCTAATGGATCTATACAAGAATAGTTCCAAACCAGAAATTGGCCCTGTTCTCATGGGATAAGGGTAATTCCGCCAGGCCGTTTTGCATCGGAAAATTACTTTCTTTTTTTATTAATTATTAATGGTTTCCCTTTTATTTAAAATCTCATTTGAGGAAAAGAATATATTTCAAACGGATATCCTACTTTGGTGGAAACGACAAGAAAAAGTTTTATCAAAGATATTAAGATAAGCTAGAATAATATTGGGATTTCCAGCAACTAATGCTACTTCTGATAGAGGATTTAACATTGCTGGAAGGTTTTTAGAACAAAGAAGAACGTGTTTGAATCCAAAAAATTTGATTATTATTTTTGTATCATAATTACAAATGTCAATAAATATTAATTTTATATTTTTTTCATAAACATTTTTTTGATCAACGTAATTTAAATTGAATATTATTTTTTATGCTTAATTTAGTAATTCCTAAATTATAAAACTTTTTTGTAAGGGTGGAGCTCCGAAACTGATTTATTAGATGCTTAAAAAAATTGAAAGAATGGGCATATTTAAATTATATATTGGCGGGCTTAGGTTAAAATTTTATATGGGCGGGCTTGGGTTAAAAAATTATATAACTAATAGGCGGGAGGGTGTGTAAATTTTTTTAGAATAATGCATGAGAGGTAAAGAA